AACATGTTTGCAACTAAGATTATGATTAAAATTAGCATTTGAGTTAATTTATCAGTTTAATTGTTCAGTATTCTATAACTTTAAAAATATTATCCACATATTTTGTATCGAGGACAAGAAAATTAATTATTTAGTTAAAAAAAAGTTTAGTGGAAAAATTATCTCTTTATGTAAAGTTAAATTTTACTAGTTTTACTCGAGATCAAACGGGGGACAATTTGCAAAATTTGTTAACAATAGGAGGACATGTATGTTTACTTGTGCGGTATGTGCCTGGAGAAAACTTTTTAAGCTGGTCAGTGCGAGTGAGTCTCTCAAGGGAAAGAGTAATTTACTATATAGGTCACTGAAAGCTTACTATATATATGTACTCATATATATCTATACGTATATGAAGCAAAATAAAAGATTCATAGAATTAAAATTTAACAAAAAAAGTTGCATAAAAAAACTGAGAACGAAAAAAAATTGCAAAGTAAAAAGTTCTTTGAAAAATAGAAAAATTTACAAAATTGGCCTTTTTTTAATGCGTCAAAAAAAACGAAAAAAAGTAATTTTTTTCTTTCTTTGATTTTAAACACTAAAAAGTTCACTTACTAGCATCAAGAAAATAAAACAAGTTACTTGTGACTAAAATGATCAACAGGTGAATCAACTTGTTCAGAGTGTGTTTGTTCAGGTTTCGTTTAAAAAAAAAAAAGAAAAGAGTGGAGGATGAAGAAAAAAACTCGAAATGACCAGATGTAAAGAGAAAATTTCCTTTTTAACATTGAAACGAATCTTTTTCAAGTCTACATATTATGAAAAGAATTTCAATTTTTTTTTCCTTGAAATTAATAAAAAGCTCTTTGCAAATATTTCTCAAGCAGCTCGAAAAAATCAACCGTGATATTCAGCATTTTATGTAAAATGAAATTTTTTTAATTGGATAGAAAATTTTCTTCTTTTTTCCTTCTTTTTATATTATACATATATACACTGAGAGACCTTTGGGACTGTAGCGGAACAACGTATGTGACAGCAGCTCCACTATGGTTTTGGTGCGCTGCGGTAAAATCTTGGGCGCGTGACAGTCCCAAATGTTGGTGAGCAGCTCACCGAAGTAGTGGGAATGCCGTCTTTGGTTTGCAGCTGAACAACTTTGGGACTGTCACGCGCCCAAGATTTTACCGCAGCAACCCAAAAGTATAGTCCTGTAGCGTTCCTCCAAAATGGTCAGTAGCAGCCTATCGAAAGTCTGCTGCTGACCCAAAGGTCTCTCAGTGTATATATATATATTTATATATAAAAGAAAAAGATTTTTATACGAAAGAAAAAAGAGAAATATCAAAGAAATGATTAACAAGTTGTTGAGAAAGATTTTCTTTAACTATTCAGTTTACCCGAGAGACCCCGAAGAATAATTCATGATCAATAAAGAAAGATTGAGGTCAAAAACCAACTTGATGCTGAAACATTCTTTTTGTGTATTAATTTCTTGGATAGACAAAAGAAACCGAATTCTAAATCTGGTTATATTTGTATAATTTTTATTATTTTTATAACAATGTTAATATGTTCTTTAGTATAAATTAATTGTATAATTGTAATTAACGTAGAGTTTATTTAAAAAGTGAATATTAAGATGAATTTTATTCTTAGATCTGCTGAAAAGATTTTTTTCTGCTAGGGTGGAAATAAGTTACTTTACTCACTAGGGGGGGACTTTAATCACTCGTGTTGCAAGAAAGTGTTTTGCTCCCTGATGAAAATAGTTATTTTATTCACTAGGGAGTAAAAACGTAACTTTAATCCCTAGAGTTCCCAAACGTTTTTTTCTCCTTAGGGATGGAAATAATTACTTTACTCTCTAGTAAAAAATTTACCATTTATATTAATTATTTTTAAATAAGAAGCAACATCAATTTTTTATAATTTTAACATTTTTAAAATTTTAATGGAAATTTATATAATACTGCCAGTTTTAAAAATAGTTATATACGACATCAAGTTAGAAGATTGAAAAAAATCAGTGAAATAAATTTCTTCAAGAAAACGCTAAAAGTATATATATACATTCAACTCGAACATAAACTCCATCATTAACAACATTCGAAACACTTGAGTTTATCGAGTTCTATATATACAATATATATACTTTCTCATACTTAGCGCCGAGTTACTTAATTAAAAAAAGAGAGAAAAAATATAAAAAAATAAATAAATAAACGTTGCGATGATTAAAGGGAGATGTTAAAATAGTAGATTCAGTTTAATCTAGGTCATATCCATAGTACAAGGCATCTTATTAACTCTTAATCAACAGATAGATTTATCAACAGGTGGATCTGTTGGCTGATTAAACTCTACTGCAAGCTTGAGAAACTATTTCATTGAAACAATCTTTCAAATTCATCAATATTTCATTTATTTATTTTTTTCTTTTTTTTAATTATAAATAAGAAATGATTATTATAAAAGTTTTTTCTGCTGATGGTAACAAATAACTTGATCCACCTTTCCACATTAAAAATTTTTTTTAAGAAGTAATTTTCTAATTCGGTAAAAAGACATCTTTTCAAACTCTTGTGTTGTAAGAAACTATTTTGCTTCCTTGGGATAGAAGAAGCTACTTTACTCACTAGGGCGAAAAGTCACTTTAGTTTCAAAAGTTAAAAGGTACTTATTAGAATGCTAAAAGATAAATGGTCGGTTTTTTTTCCATTACAGTTATGATTCGTAAAATAGAAACTTAACAGCATATTGCTGAGATTATAAATTGACATTAAATTTGTTATTAAATTACCCAACTCCCTCTTTCCTAAAAAAAAAATCGAATTGACTGAATTTACAAAATAAGGAAATTTTTCGCTTTTTTGAATAATTTATAAAATGAAATCATAAACAACGAAACCAAAAACAAAATGACTTCGAAGTATTTTTAATATAAAAATATATTCTATATAGTATCTTAAAATAAGATGCTTCTTTTGTAGTCACTTTTAAGTTGTTTCGAAAAAGTTATCATAAAACGTCTTAAAATAATGCATTTATCTTTAAAATGGGGTGATCGAAAAATGAGATATTTCAAATATCTTAAAAGTAACTACCTACAATGTATTTTAAGATACTTCTTTTTGTATAGTGATCTTAAAACTTTAAATTATTGAATATTAAAACTTACAAAATAAATTTTAAAGTTAGCCTACTTTGTAGCCTACACTGTAAAATCAAGCATCTTATTTTAGGATACCATGGTCGTCACTCTTAAATTGTTTCAAAAAAGTTATCAAAACCATCTTATACACTAAGATATATACTAAAAAGTCAATGCATTGATCTTCGAGACGGAGGATCAAAAAATGAATTTTTTTAAATATCTTAAAAGTGACTACAACGTATTTTAAGATACATTTTTTTACAGTGATTTTAAAACACCAAAAAGATTTTTAAGGTAGCTTACTTTTTAACAAAAACCCTGTGAAAAAAGGCATCTTACATATTATGGTCGTCACTCCTAAATTGTTTCGAAAATGTTATCAAAAGCATATCTTATGCTCCAAGAAATACTAAAATGTCAATGTATTTATCTTTTAAAAGGAATACAAAAAATTAATTGTTTTAAATATCTTAAAAGTTACTATTATAATGTATATTTTAAGATGCTTCTTCTTGCAGAGATTTTAAAACAAAAATGATTTTCAAAGTAACCTACTTTTCAAAGAAAAACACTGTAAAATAGGACATTTTATTTTAAGATAGTATGGTAGTCACTCCTAAATTGTTTCGAAAAAGTTATTAAAAGCATATCATACACTTAGGGCCAGTTTTACCAACTCCAATTAAAAGTTAATCATTGATTAAATCCTTAACCGACCAATCATAGGCGGTTAAAATAACTTTAATCATTGATTAACTTTTAATCGGAGTTGGTGAAACTGGCACTAAGATATTACTAAAAAGTCAATGCATTCATCTTTTAGACGATGATCGAAAAATGAGATTTTCTAATTATCTTAAAAGTGACTACAGTGTATTTTAAGATGTTTCTTTTTGCAGTGATAAAAGTATAGTTAATTAAATCAACTTCAGGTCTTAAAATCAAACTCTCGTGTCTGATGTTCAGTTAAAAATAAATGCTTCTAACAAAAAGGGTTTGAGGCATAAAGGGCTAGAAGTAACTTTCTAATTTTAAATCAAAGCGTAAGATAATAAATCTTACTTTCAGTCCACTTTTAACTAAAACCGTTTACATTAGAAACATTTTTGACTGAATTTTAGCCTTGAGAGTATTATTTTAAAGTCCTAACATAAACCTATTTCAGTTTTAAGTTTAAAAATATGTTACTTTTCAAAAATTTTGGTTTTAAGATATGTAAACGGTTTCAGACTTTGTTCTTTTCTGTGTTCTTGAATGAATTTTAGCCATTAGAGCGAGCCTAAAACTATTTATTTTAAGTCCTAAAGTTGTGACTTAACCTATAGTTTCAAAATTTTAAAGTAGGCTTATACTTTATAATAATTTTGGTTTTTCTAAACAGTTTTATACTTTCAGTCCATTTTTTGACTAAAATCGTTTACGTTAGAACCATTCTTAAATGATGTTTAGCCACACAGGAAAAAAAAAGTCTGACTCCGTTTACACCTTAAATTCAGCCCATGTATTTCACATAAGTCTGTCCTTGTTTAATGGGGCTGACTCCGTTTACACCTTAAATTCAGCCTCGAAAACAGGCTAAAAGTAAAACTTTTTTTTTAGTGTGCATGAGAGCAAGTTTATGAGTATTTATCTTTATTCCTAAAGTTATGACCACCTATTGAAAATTTTAAAGTGGGCTTACTCTTTAATAATCTTAGGCTTAAGATGTAAACTCTTTTAATTCTTAGGTTTTCTCATATACTGAGGCGAATATTTCTATTTTGCCCCAATATTCCAGTAACATTACGTCCTACTTGGAGTGGGTCAGGCGGTGGGGTTGAGAAGATATTGTAAACGAAAAATGGGGCCAAGACCATCTTACCTCTATCATGTTCCATGCGCTAGGAGCGAGTCCAGCTCGCTGCCCGCGTGCGTCTGTATTTAATTTCTATATATCTATATACACTGAGGCCCCCCACGAATGGAAAAATAATGTGAGGGTTCCTCAATGAAATATAATCAAAATTTTGTCTGCAGCTTCTTTTTCAGGTGATGGTGGTGATGATGATCCTCAGCCTGGTCCTGCTGGACCACCTAATCGGGCCTCGCCCGAAGCCCTCATGCTCCCTTTTCACCCCCCTCAACGCCTACCCCACGTTTTTACACTACGCCACCTCGCGTTTTTCACTGCACACCCGCTCGTCAACAATAATTCCCAAAGATGAAATTCCAAACCTCAGATTCTGAATTCCAGTCCTGCGCATAATTGGTCCATGTCCTAATTATAATCACAAATACTCTTCTCTCTCTCTCTATCTCTTTTCACAAATATTGAAATTTAGTCACACGAACATTTTTTTTTTGAAAGGTTACTAAAAATTTTCCGGAAGTCCAGTTTTTTATTCCACAGCCTCGGGGTGCTAGTGTAGTGGATGCGGTGGTGAGAGCCTGGTTTGAGAGATGGGATAAGAGAGAAAGAGATAGGAGAGGAAGTGAGAGGGAAAGGGATAGGAAGAGAGAGAGAGAGAGAGAATTCCGAATAAGAGAGAAAGAGAGAGAGAGAGACAAGACTGCTCGTTATTGATTGGCGACCACGGAACGAAGGGAGACCAACGTCGCGACGCTGCCGTCGTGCTAGAAGGGTGCTTCTCTTTCGAGGAAATCCCGGGGTCACGAGCGCAACGACATGTACCCCACTTTTTTTTTCGAAAAATCTTTCCTTTTTTTCCCCTCGCCTTTTTTAAAAAATAAAATTAAAAATTTCTTTCTTAAACTTCCGAATCGAAAATAACACTTTTACCTCACATCTTGTGAATTTCACACTTCACTTGTTTACAACCCCCCTCCCCCAATTTTCATTTTTTTGTTCGTTTTTTTTTTTGTCTTTTTGAAAAAAGACAAAATTAATACACTATTTTGAAAAAAAACAGATTTTTTTTAAATTTGAGCACTGGACACTAGATTTTTTTTAAAAAAAGAGTGTTGAGGATTTCTTTTTGGAAATTACTTGGGGAGGGGGGAGGGATTGTTTTCCTTTTTTTGAGGGGAGGTTGGTGGTTTTTTTTTGTTTTCTTTTTTTTTGAGTGGGGAGAGGTTTTATTAACACGCGAATTTTGAGACAATTCTTCGCGGATGTCTCAAAATGTGAGACACGGTGCCGTGGTGGGCCACCCAGAGTTCAGTCAATATGGCGGTTGCTGATAATGCCTGGCCACCACTGCTTGTGATGGTGGTGCTGCCTTCTATCGTGAACGTCTCGGCGACGCCGACGCGGGGCGTCCCGATATACAACGGCGCCGTTTCACGAAGGTCGCATGTCCACGCACGTTCACGCCTGCGGTTTAGAGTTCGCTATTTTGTGTATTAGAGAGAAAGAGAGAGATAAATGTGTAGAGAGGACCATTACCTCCCTGGGATACAATAAATGTATATATATATATATATAAATATAATTATATAGAACATCATCATCAATATAGAACATCAAACATTTGAGAGATGTCGCGAGGGTTTGTTTTCATTTTTCATCGAAAAAAAGCCTCTCTCCCTTTTCGATGAGACTTGATTTTTTAGGCTAGAAATTATTATTACTATTCATGACATGTACTCGTTTCGAATAACTTCCATGTGGGCTGTTTTTCATTTTTTTCCGTTGACATAAATCTCCATTAGATAAATAAGAATATCATTCATGTATGTCATCTTGACGTTTGTGTAATTTTTTATATTATTATACTTGTACTATTTGTTATTCTTTTTATAGTATTCACTTATTTCTTATTTTTGTTTCTTTCATTTAGTATATTTATACTACTTATTATATACATTCTAATTATTATATTTTAGAATATACTGCCAATTAATTTCTTTAAAGTTCACTTTTTCAATAATTGAATACAATAGAAGTGTATTTGTAGGTGAAAATTTGCTTCCAGCGTCATTGCGCATCTATAAATTGCGTGGAAACCTACTGCGCAGGTAAAAGTTTACCCTACCGTATCAGTGCACATTCAAAGATTGCTTAAAAACCTACTGCGCAGCTGAAAGTTTACTCCAAGTGTCAGTGCACATCTAAAAATTGCGTAGAAAACTTCTGCGCAAGTGCGCATCTTCGAAGAGCGTAAAAGTCCTGTTGCGCATTCTTTAAAGTCTCTTTGCTTTTTAAACTATATTAATAATACTATATAGGAATATTATAAAGACTTTCCATTTTTTAATTTTGTTTCCTATCTGTTTTCTTGGACACTTTCAAAAAGTTTACCTTAATACCAATGTTATTTATTATTATCGGCCTTTTAAAATCAAAGACAAATCGAGAGCTCCTTATATTGTGTTAAAACTTATAATTGAAATTTCATAAGTTTCACACCTTTATTGTTTTATAAACCACAAGAGCCATCGAGTGAAGAGTTCTTCTTCATCCTCTTGTAATAAACTTTTGTGTTAGCAAGAAAAAAGTGAATAATTTTTTTTTTAAATTGTAATTGAAAAAGTTATTTTTTAAAACATAAAAGAAAATATATATAAAGTGAAAAATATTAGGAAATATGTATTAAGATAAAAATAATAAAAAAAATATAAGAAAATAAAGAAAATATGAAAAAAATATTAGAAAATAAAGAAAATATGAAAAAAATATTTTAGAAAATAAAGAAAATTTGAAAAAAATATTAGAAAATATAAATTGAAATAAAATTGGTATCGGAAAAAATAGTTTTCTTTCGCGTATAGAGAATTAATCTTCTAAGGTTTTTTTTCACATTTTTTTATTTTAATAACAAAAAATAATAGGAATTATTTTTTTCTGCCACTATTATTAAAAAAAAAAGAGGAAAATGTTTTTTCCAACCTCATGTAACACGCTTTTCATTAGCATAAATATTAGCGTTTTTATCGTCGATTTGTTAGAATTGCGTGACACGAATGGTGGCAGGTATTATCTTGATAGTCAAATAATTCTGTGGAAGAAAGGCATAACAGCATAACTGACATTTTTATCAAATTTGAGATAACATCAGATTTGTATATATTTAATATTGCTCTTCAAAGTTTAATAGCTGAAAAATCATTAAAATGGTTATTAATGTAGAAAATAATGGAAAACATAATCGCATAATTGCGTTTTTGACAAAAGGAGACCAGCATAATAACATAACTGCATTCAGCTTAAAAAACAATTGACATAATTAAAAATGAAAATAACCTTTATGAATAAAAACAATAAGAATTTTGCAATAAAATGTTTTTAGTAAAATACATTTTTCGTACTTTAGATTAAATATATTTATTTTAATAAAACTGGAACAAATTTTTTATAGCATAAATTGTGCATTTAATTATGTACTTATTTTTAAGGGTATTTCTATTCTAAAAAATTTTGGAAAGTATTTAAAAAAATAAATTGAAAAATTCTTCAAGTTGAACAGTAAAGTAAATTTTTTTCTCGTTTCAATAAATTAAAAACATTTTATAAAAAAATAAATTTTATAACTGAATAAACTCTTATAATTTTTTCTAACGAATTAATAGTTTAATTTGTCTTTGTATGAAAAATTTTTTTAATTATGACAAATCAAACCAAAATAAATTGTGACATTAAAAGTGTCTGAAGTTGGACTCATATACAATCTGAACTTGCATAACCGCATAAGTGCAATAAAACTCATGATTCCGATGAAAAATTATCAAAATTTATATCAAATCGTGTGTTTTATTAAATTTTATAAAAGAATTTTGAAAATATATTAAATAATAATACTAAATGCAAAAGACCGAACAAATCTGTTGATTTTCTGAATTGACAGAAGTGAGAGAACATTAAAATTAATTTATCTCAAAATCATGACAAATGCAGTTATGCTGTTATGCCTTTCTTCCACAGAATTTTCCCTTCAAAGCATAAAATTATTTGTTCGATAACAGAAAAATGATGCGAGAAGAAAAATTATAAAATCATTAAAACTGATTTATCAATACTTTTTAGGTCATACTCATTTTGCTAGTAAATATTTATATATTATTAAAGTATAAGAGCGAATATAACTAAACTAATCGTTATACTTTTAAGATGGAAAAATCTAATATAAACAATATATGAAAAAAACATGTATATTTATAAATTTGTAGGTTTTTGAAAAAAATTCTCGAATGTAAATAATATACATAAAATAATAATAAAATTATAATAATAACGAATACTAATTATTATTTACATATTGTTCATTATAATTGTTCGAACTAATAATTCAATTGTATAAGAACAAACTGCAATAACAATAAATTATAATTAACAAGTATAACAACAAATTGTAGCAGTAATAAAAAAGCTTTTTTTTGCTTTTCTCAATTTTTACGATTTATCTTTATTATAGCACTTTTCACTGCAGCAGGTTTGCAAATCTGAAATTTCTTCTATTCCAGGTTTTTTTTGCATCGGACATAGAAGATAGTCGAATATTCGGATGCTGTAAACATAAATTTAAATACAGCCTCAATTTTTTTTTCTTTTGAGCTTATATAAGAGGCAACAGCGCACTGAAGAGGGTCACTGAGGAAATATTCTCTATTCATCGAATTAATCTCAAAACACCATCCATTTGGAGTATTAGATTATTAGTCTCCCACTGTACATTTTTTCGCCTCGTATAATATTTTCTTATTTTTATATATTTATAAATTTAATTAATTTTAAAAAAAATTTTCTTTCTTCTTCGAAATATTAATTTTCAAAAAAACAGGAAACATGAATAAAAATAAGTCTCATTATAAATTGATGTTTGTGTACGTTTTAAAATCCATACACAACAAATCAATAATAAGAAAAAGTTTATAGAAAATAGTAAAGCGAATGAAGCTTTTCAGGAATTTCACGACAGATGGCACATTATTACCTTTTGATAGTTGGCAGATACATATATCGAGCGTCGGTATAATAGAAAATTTCCTCCCTTACATTTATTCTAATTTCAGCTTCACCTATGATGAAAAAGCAGAAGCTCCGCCTCGATATTACTCTTATGGTAATTATCGGAAATTGCATACAAAATTTCAGACTTTTTTACAAGTCTATTTAGCATAGAAAATGAATCAAATATAGGAAAGGCAAAGTTTTGTTAAAAAATTCTAAATTCGTGTTATTAATATTAAATTTTTTTCTTATACTAAGTTTTTTCTCAATAGATTCTCTGTTAGTTCTTAATCTCCTATAACCCCTGTAACAATAGGAGAGAAAGAACTAACAGAGAAACTTATTAACCTTAGTCATTAATGGCGTAAAGAAAAACTGAAAATTACTCAAGGGGGGAGGAAGAGGAGGTTAACGAGGATATAATTGGAAAATGTATTTAAAAATTTAATTCCAAAGTATATAGAGGCGACAAAAGGGAAGTATGGTTAAAATATCCCAGAGTGCATTTATAGCATTCTTTCCCTTACAGTCTGTCTCGTCACCCCACAGTGGGAAGGTAAACGGGGGGGGGGGGAGAATAGGGAGAAGGAAGTCAAGAAAACACGTGCATGGACACATCTTTCTTTTGGGGAATAAAATCTTATAACTGTGTGTAAAAGTATAGATATATAGTAACGCGCATGTTTGTGTGCGGAGAAGAAGGAAAAAGGGGAGGAAGGGATTCAGGGGCTCTGTGAGCGACAGTGGCTCACCACTCACACAAGTCCAGAGACGAGAGAAGAACATAAAGTGAAACTAAAGGGAGCTAGAGAGGTTCACATTCTAAGCCCTCACACACACACACACACACACACTCTCATACGAAAAATACATCTATATATGTATGTTCACATTTTGAGGAGGGAGAGTCAGCCAACGGGCTCGGCAACTCCCCCTAATACTGCAGGACTGAATGGGCGAGGGGGTGGTATTGGGTCTCCTCACCCCACTCCTCCTACGAGGAACGAACTCACCCACCTACTCACCCATCCACCCAACCGACGGCCTGCCACCCCGCCTGCCCACCCACTGGCCACCCGACTGCCGTCGAGGAAACAACCTGCAACCGAACCAGCATAACCTTTCCTCGAACACGATTTTCATCCCACCAGGAAACACTCAACATTTATTAATATCATCATCATCATCAACAGTATTCTCAATAAACGTGAGTACAGTTCTTTCTTTTTATAAAAACAACCCCCTCTGTTTAATCCTCATTGGCACTAAACTTGGTCGTTTCATGTACTTCTCTCTCTTAACGCCATGTCTCTTTTTTCCCCACTCTCGAAAAACTTCCCCCCCGAAATACAATTTTATTTTAATGTTTGTCTATTATTTCCTCAACTTTTGGCCTTTTTGATACACTGGATTTTATTTTCATGTTTGCATGAGATTTTTTTGTGAGAAAAACAAGAGAGAATATTATTATAGTGATGAAAAAAGTGACAGTAGACGCTCTCCCGCGGTCGTCTCTGCCATGAAGTGAGCCCAAAGTGTATGGGTTGTTTCCCGGAGTTGTGCGTGTATATCGGTTCTCGAGCCATTGGGATTCCATGTGTGGGGTGAAGTTGAATTGTGTGAGTGCCAGTCAATGTATTTGTGTATGTGAACGGCGCGGGTGCGCTGTGGTGTCGAGAAATCGTCTCCACTCTTCTCTCTCTCTCTCTCTCTCCCTCTGAAGTAAAGAATAAAAATGAGAGAAAGAAAAAAAGGAAGGACACATTATTATGTGTGCGGCTTCAAAGAAAGAGAGTGAGAATTAAGAATATGACATTGGGAAAGAGGGGGAGCGATCTATGAGAGAATTATTATTTTTTCATCAGAAGGATGAATTTTGAATCTTGTGGTAACGTCAGATAGTGAGCATTGTGAGTGGGACTTGTGTGTGTGTGTGTTGATTGATGAATTATAAGCAAAAATTGAAGATAGTTAAAAAATGATAATTTGATTTTTAGTTATGCAATAAGGAGCATCAGTTTTCTTAATCAGGATGATGTTTTTTCGTAAGGAACATAAGTGATGTTTAAAGTAAAAACCTAGTGAGTCGATATTTTCCCTAAGGTTGAAAATTGCATAGACGCTAAGCGACTCTCGACCTAACGGAACATGCGACTTACTACATTTTTTCACTGGACAGAAGATTAAGGTCTGTCTTGAGGAAGATGATTTCTTTTCCGAGATACTCCAAAAAGATTATTATCTTTAAGAAAATGATAATGGCTATAATCAAGATAATAATCATAAGATGATAATGGCTATAATCAAGATAATAATCATAAGATGATAATGGTTATAATCAAGATGATAATCATAAGATGATAATAGCTATAATTATCGAGTATAGGGGTGTCTAACTTCAAGAAGATGACGTACATCTTAAGGATGATGATATCGGTTTCTAGTAAAATGATGTCTTCTTTAGAGAGGGATGGTGTCTATTTTTTCAATATTTTTATAAGGTAATATTTACCTTAAGAAAAATTAAGCTTGTCTTCAGGGTGATGAAGGTTTATTAGATAAAGATTTTATTATAACTTAATTTTAAGAAGGATAATAATTATCTGAAGGAAAATGATATGCAATCTTTAGGACAATGTCTATTTTAAAGAAGAAAATAGTTTGTTTTAAAAAAGATGATGTATTGATTAAGAAAGATTTTGTTTATCTTAAGAAAGATGGTGGTTATCTTAGAAAAGATTATACATATGTCTATCTTTTAAAACATACCATGTCTATTTTAAAAAAAATGTTGTCTATCTTAAGAAAGATAATGTCTATCTTAAAAAAGATGATGTCCATCATCTTAAAAAAAATAATGTCTATCCTAGAAAAGATGATGTCCAACTTAAGAAAAAGGAAATAACACTGTTTTTCTGCCGATTATCAAATTGAAACAAAAAACGAATCAAAATTGTTGCAAAGTAACATTTTGATTCGTTTCTTGTCTCAATTTGATATCCACAGAAAAACTGCGAAGTGAAAGAATAGATGATATGTAAGATAGGAAAAAAATATCCACTTTGAGAAAAATTAGGTAGGATAAGATAATGGAAAAGAAACTAAAAGGAATGAATGAAAATTTTTATTGAAATGAATTAAAGAACAACTGCAAAGAGGCAAAAGATAAAAATTTAGTGTACATAGCATCTTAGGAAAAATGGTAATTTTCAAAGAAGCCAGAGAGGCAAAGTGTTTACAAAAATGTGGGAGCAAAAAGGAAGGAATGGTTTGTTTGTATATACATGGTAAGATGAAGCAAAACGTGAGAATGAGAGAAATAAGAAAAGCAGAATGCTAACGAAAGAAAAGAAAAAATTTCTTGTGGAAGGTCATGCTGATTTGTAAAGGACGATCTTAATAAGCTCGATAACGTCGTTTTTTCCTTTATCCCTATAAAAGCCTTTCTCTCTCTATATGTTTTATTTTTTACTTTCTATCATTTCGAATATTTGCAATATTCACAATAATTACAATATTTACAATATTGGCAATGTTTACAATATTTGCAATGAATTGTTAATTAAACCCCTTGATGCAATAATCAGACATATACCATTGAAATTAAATAGACTGCGGCTGGTTCTTGCATCAAGGGATTCAACTACTATAATTAATTGTAGGTTATTACGATTAATTGTAGGTTATCACAATTAATTGTAATTTATTAGAATTCCCAGATAGCTTTCTATGTAAGCTCGCTGAAATATTGCTGCAAGATTGCAGCTGTCTCAAAAAACAAGAAGTTTATTCTTCACCACCTATTAATTTAAAAATACCAGACATAATTCTAAATTATCAGAATTAATTACTAAGTCATTGGACTTAATTGCAAATTATTAAATTGCATTAGACTTAACTCTAATAGATTGTTAATTAATTAATTAATTATTACTAATTAATTATCAACTCTAATTAAATCTAAATTATTATAGAATTAACTTTTACAACAACACCTGCTATTATTAATAAAATGATTTTTCGAAAATTCAAAATTTCGTGTCATCGTAAATTTTGCCAAGATTTTCGACTGTCTTGTCATACTCCACAATGTACAGTGGACATGCAGACAAGGGAGGAATTCTCCTAGTATTATTTGATAATAATGGGTTTATGTATGAGTGAATTTGTGTCCGTGTGTGGCTGGCAACGCTGCATTGCAGCTGCTGTAGCTCGATTTTGAAAGCCAGTGATTCTCAATATGTCCGTCTTGCCAAGTTGCCAGACTATGTACGGGAGAATTAAAAGTTGACAATATTCTTGAAAATAAGAAACATATTGGTAGGTGTTCTGTAGATGAACACGAAGGTGGGTACTTAGACACATACATACAATAATCAAAAAGTTGACGATCATGTGCACATATAGACATAAAATGTATGTATGTGCATAAGCACACAAACATAAAATCTTTGTATATAGAAGCATATAGAGATAAAATGTATGGCATGATCCGGAAATAAATATTACACACAGGTAACTGTTTATATGCTGTCCTTCCGCTTTGCATACATTTTCGGAAACCACATCATTTCTACCATTATGTTATTAGTTCGTGGCTAATATATTTATCGTTTTAGTCACGAACTAATAACATTGTGATAGAAATGACGTGTACAGACAGGAAGGACAGCATATATGCAGTTACCTGTACAGACACAAACAATGGTGCATCCATCTATGTATTTGTTTATACCACGGACACACCTCCCTTTTATATATATATATATAAAATATATATAAATAAAAAATATACATAAAGAAAGAAAAAGAAGGAAAGAATATTTCTTTTTCGTCTTTAAGGAGAGTAAAGGAGTTTTGGCTCTCATACTTTCACGTGACATACAGCCCCTTCTGCGAGTGCACCTGGAATCGACGTGCAGTTGCGCACACTTGACTAATAGTGAGGGGAATATTGATTTATCTGACGCAACCCCTTCCTTTCGTGCAACACTCTTGAACAATCCCACCCATAAAAATATTTATTCCCCTCAACGTAGGGATAGTATCCCACTCCTTAAAATTCTAACCCTCCTCAGATCATCTTTCTACATCAATGTCCCTTTCAACCCCTCCATTGTTTCTCGTCAGGGAGTGGGAAGTTATGGGGTAACAGAGGGGAAAGGAAATTTCTCCTGATGTTGGAAAGAATATTTTCCTTACTTCCTCCCTCCCTGGTGATGAATTTTCCCCTACCCTTCCCCTCTTCACCCCTCATTATCAATAATTTCTAGTTGTTGCAGTTTCCTTTATTTATAGATTTCCCTTTTCTTTCTACCGTTTACTCTCCTTCTCCTTTTTTTCCTTTGTCTCTCTCCTTCTCATTTTGTTTTTTCTTTCTTCTTTTTTTTCTTTCTCTCTTTTCTGCTTTTTTTCTTTTTTTCTTTCTCCTATTTTTCTTCTTTTTCTCTTTCTTTCTTTCTTTTTTCCATGTCTTTATTCTCTATTTTTTCTTTCTTTCTCTCTCTTTTTTAGTATTACTCTTTTTCCTTTCGTTTCTTCTTTGGCTCTTTTTTCTTTTCTTTCTTAGCTTTTTTCTATCACTATTTTCTCTAATTTTCTTTCTTCTTCTTCTTTTTCCAACCTTTCTTTTCTTTTTGCCCCCTTTCTCCTTTATTTTCTCTTTTTTTCGTTTCTATACTTCTTTCTCTGTCTCTCCTTTTTAATTTTATTTGTTTCTTATTTTTCATTTTTTCTTTCCTTCTTTCTTTTTTTCTCTTCTTCTTTCTTTTGTTTATTCAGTTTTTCTTTTCTTTTTTCTCTTGTTTTTTTTCTTTCTTCCTTTTTTTCTCTCACTTTTTCTATTCTTTCATTACAACTTTTTTCCTCTTTCCAACCTTTCGTTTCCCCCCCCCCCCTTTCGTCTTTTGTTATCTCTCTTTTTAGAGAGATATTGGTTTCTCTATTGGTGAGACTTTTGCGTCCGTGGCCAAATTCGTGTCCCCACCCTAGCGGCTAAACTATTTGACCTAAAGAGCTAAAATCTGGTCCAGATATGTATTTTGACTCGTAGATTACAGGAAAAATATAGCGAATGTGATTGCAGCACGGTGCGTCTAGTCAAAATTAAATGAAAAATGATATTACCTCAAATTTTTTTGTTGATTCTGTATCCTAGCCCTATATAGACATATCTTATGAAGAGACGAAAATTGTAAGTTTAGCGCT